GGAAAACCGGGCGCTATATACAACAGTAAATATTTGACTGGGTCTTCAAAAGCAAATTGCAGCATTTCAATATTTACTTGCACTCAGAATTGCTGATGGTTTCCCTGCTGTGCAGTAAAAGAGAAAAATTATAAGTGCATTCATAATCACTTGACCTTCCTTCTAAAAAACTACATTTGCCAAAATATTCTCTGTTTTCCCATTGTTTGTGAAATAGAAAATGTAAATAGCAAACACATTTGGAAGTGCTACTGGTTTGAAACAGCGTCTCAAACTTTGATTTTCCTACCTGCCTTCTGCCCTAGAGCCAACAGCAATTTCTCACTTTGACAAGACAGATCTGGTGCCCTCAAACTGTACCAGCATGAACTATCATCAGCACTCGCTGAGCATCCATCTCATGTTAGACACAGTTTGTGCTACAATGGCAATCGGAAGAGTAACATGGGCTGCCTGCAGACGGCTCTTTGATTCCTAGCAAAAATGAGTCCTCTTGTTTCTTACTTTCACTGGTGTAAAATCCATGGAAGATAGATGACAGGTACCTTATCTCTTTAACTATGTGGTCTCTTGATGGCAAACCATCACCATACGCAGCGATAAGGACACAGCAAAATATTCCATTTTTATCGTTCAAAATATTGGGAAGAAATCTCATCTGAAATAGTAACAATGGCCTGCCTGCCCAAACCTTTCTTCAGAATTAAGTGTCTATTTAATTCAACCAGGTGACACAAAAATTCACCTCATTTTCTGCCCCCCACCTGTCAGGTACGCAACTGGTACCAAATTATGAATCTCATCTTCATCTCCACCAGGGAAATAATTAAACTAGGCTATGCACTCTTCCTAGGATTGGTAGTATGATGTAGTTTATTTTCTTTTAAAGGTTCAATCTGACTCTTATTCTGAAATACTCTATAAATGAGGGGCCAAATCCTTGGTTGTGGCTGAAAGCATCTCTTCAGCATTATCTGTATTTTTCCACATCAAACCTTGAGTTTTCAGGGTGAAAAGTGAAAGGAGAGGGCAGATTTTTCTCACATTGACCAACAGAAGTTAGACCACGAGGCTAAGCAAGACTTCTAGGCTGTCCTTGGAGCCAGTATGGAGAAATCTCCATCTCCAGAGGGCACTCCATCCCATTCCACAACAAATGTCACACTACACAACTGCAGCCACCTATTTGTTCACCAGTGAATAAAGAAAATAGATGCTTTTTGTCAGGAAAGTAAAGATGAGGAAGTCATCTCAGAGAGTCTCTGTCCAGAGCAAACCATGTAATATATCGATAAAAGCAAACCTCAACCTGCATTTGTGGAATGGTGGCTACAGCAGAGCAGTAATTCCTGGCCCAACTGTACATCAACAGCTAGAGTGCTTTAGGGAAAAATTAAGAATATGTTATGATTAAGTATAACTATGCTACATATATTTACAGTCTGCTAAAGATAAAATGCTACACAAATGTAACAGAGTATTTTTTTCTCTACAATCAAAACACTCTTTTATGAAGGGAAATGTGTTCTTTTTCAAAAACTTGGCTGAAACCCTTGGCTGAAAAGCATTAGCCCATCACTTACCTGAGAGACTGGGTTTTATGGATGACTGTGAAAGGAAAAAAAATTTGCCAAGCCTAATTTTATATTTTCCTACCTTTGTCAGCTTGCATGAGTAACTTCTATCCCATTTTGCACAGCTTTTAATATATTAAAAATAATGAATAAAGGAGGTTCTAATGGGAGAAGTCAAATATGACAAAATAATTAAATTACTAAGCATCCAGAAATCTCTTGCTTTTCAGATCTATGAGTTAAATATATGGCAATTCAATTTCCTTAAACACTTGACAGGACCTATTTTGTATGAGATTTCTTTGCTAACAGGCTTTCAGTCACATTAAGTGTTCACAAAGTGCACAGAAGCTGTATTTTACTGCACAGCCCTAATTGAGCTGTCTGGGCTAAAGTAGCTGAATGTTACAGAAATGTTTATTATACAAATCCATTTACTCTCAAACTAGAAAAGGACATTCCTGTACATCTGAGTGTAATTTATCCTAGAAAAAAGAAAGCAAAAGGTCTTTTATCACCCTCTCAGATCAGTGAATTATGCTTATGGACTTCTTTTACAACTCAAAATCTGATTTTGCTCCAAACTGCAAAAGAGCAAAGTCTCAAATGCCTCAGTTATTTTTCAATTACATTTAATATCTCTTTCTCAACAAGAAGTATAACTTATTGCAGCATTCCATAGCTACCTCAGCAGCACTCTATGAATGGGGAAAGGATGTATTTTTGTGTTCAAAATACATCTTGCTGTCCATTTCTGCTGTTTTCCTATAACTGCATTTAGTATTTGTTTATCCAATTCTTTTGAGCATCTAACCACCTAATTTAAGTTAAATGTTTAGACACAGAGAAGTTACACAGAAAACAAGTAAAAAATCCTAAAACCTGCACGTGAAACACAATTGTGGCTGAAATATCACACATCCCCAGAGTCCCCATCTATCTATCTATCTATCTATCCCACAGGTTTTCCTCATGGCAGCAAAGGGGGCAGATGATGGAAATCAACTTCTCTCAAACAGGATAATAAAACTCAACTCTGCTACAGAGTAGGGACATGTTGCAGGACCCAATTCAAGTGGTAAAAGTTGGAGCGAAGATATTCTAGACATAAGAACCTTAAATACAAACTTGACCTGATTTCCTCATTTCCAAATACCCCTGTAATTTCTTATTAAATATTAAAAGGTGCTGGGGTGGGGGGGAGAAAGGCACAAAACAAAGCAAAACAAAACTGCAACACACAAAAATTATATTTTGGTTTAAACCCAGCTTTTGCCTCAATCTGGTCCTACTTAGGCAACCCAAGGTACTTCAAGCTGGAAAACCAAAAGGGCAAAGAACACTAATGAAAAGCAGAGTTTGACAACTGTGTTCATTGTTATCCATAAAGCTCCAAAATAAAGCAATCTAAAAAACATTTTTAGCAGGTCTCCCTCCCAACACACCAACAGTGTAATTACAGGCAGGAATATTAGACCACAAGATGGAAAGGAACTTGGACACAGGACCATAAGGTAGTCTCTGCTCCCCTCTCAAATACTCTTTCCTACCTCTGCTTTTCTAACTAATTCTATTTTATTTCATTTACTTTTCTCAAGTGTCCTCTGATTACAGTTCAGTGTCCACCAGAAATGCACCTTGACTGACCAATTTTTCCCCTATGTCCATGCTTGGCAAGCATTTAATAGTAATTAAAAACATCTCTATTTTTGGAGAGTGCATAGATAACCAAGAGGCAGTGACTTTGATTGATAGTCACTGTCTTGGAAACTGGAGGATGAAATTTTTTGTGTGAATTTAATTTCCTTGAAGGCAGGCTGGGTAGGTAATATGTTCCAAAAGATCACTGAGACATATTTTTGCCACATGCCACGTTGCTTAGAAAGATGGTACAAATACCAGTGATTGGCACAATGAAAGAGATTTGTTGCAGCCATCTGAATTAAGCATCTCATTTGCTCTGGAACATATCATCTTCTCAGTATTCCTCGACCCTCTTTAGTAGCATGACACACCAACAGAATGAGCAATACAACTGCAGTGAAGCAACTTTCATTGCCGGGAAATTAAGAGAGGAACTGAATCTGGTGGATTTCAAAATAATGATGAGATACATCAGCAAGGAACAGTGTCACAGGATCGTCACAGTATGCAGATGTACGTGAAACAGAGCTACTTCATGGGCTGCATATCAAATTCCAGCATGGAAATTGTTAAGGTAATTCTGACACAGAAAAAGTTTCAGAAGGGAGAAAACACGAAAGCCAGACACAAAAGCTACCTCAAATATTAGGAGGCGTGAGTTAACTCAGTGGATTTTAAAGTATTTGAAGCTGAAATCTACCATTAAGGTCACCTTTAAACAAAAGGAAAAAAAAAGCCCTGAATACAAGTATAGCCTCTAGTAACAAAGAAATCCTGCACAAAAATTTCTAGTTTGTTGAACACATTTCGCAGTTCTGTTCATTAATAATGTTAAATAGCACGACTTTATATCTGAGAAAAATTTGCTAATTTTCTTCTTCCCTCTTTTCAAGGCTGGACAGGAAATATCTTTTAATCCTCAGTACAATATTGCCTGGGATTAATTTGAATCTTACTTCCAAGTGGATTCAGCAAAAGTGATTTGAACCACCTATTATAAAAGCTCTAGGTGATCTTAAACATCACACAAGCTAAACTAAATGGTATATAATACCAATTACAATTACAAGTGTTATTACCAATAACACTTCTCAGGACTTCAGGACAGGTCTCCCTGAGATGAACAGTTTATTTGAAATACATATTTCGGGAAAAATGGTAGTGTTGGTTTAGTTCTTTTAAACACAGATGAACAGTTTATTATGAAGAAAATAGCATAATCAAGATGTATTCCATGAAACAGAGTGGGGTGAGATACATCAAAACCTCTACTCAAGTGATTCTTTTGCTGACTTTAATATATTCTTGCTTTAAGGTTATTGCTTTAATAAAGTGCCCTCTGCCATTTTATGTTATAGTGGCTTTAGCTTTTATATTGTGTAGTAAGTATGATTAAGATCTTCTGCCTGTTCACTTGCCATAATAAGGAATTCATCTTTTATATCTTAAATATATATATATATATACTTGCTGTCACTAAAACTTGAGGGACAAAGCTGAAAACTTAAACCTCAGGCAACCTTAAACCCCTCAAGCAAGGAGGACTTCTCAGCACCTCATGACTCAGCAGCAGGGCTTCTTTAATAAACATCCCACCTGTGACATCACCTAAACAATAAAAATTCAAACTTCAAACTGAAGTACTTTTCTAATGGATTTACCTTGGTATTTTTAAAATACAGGGATTTTTTTGCTGCTCATGCACACTACCTACAACATTTTTACATGTTATATCACAGTAGTTATTCTATCACACCATTACATATGTAAAAATAGCATTAATAATGTTTTTGATTCCTTTATTTCACCAAAAAGCCATTTCTGGATGAAACTGGATGAAACAGTGGGTAGATAAAATAGGAAGTAGTGCAAGAAGCTATATATGGGGAAAGAGTGGCAGAGAGATGCTGCTTCAGTCACCCCTGCCACAAAAGGGACAGTTTAGAACCACACTGTCACTGCTGCTGCCACACACACTGGGCAGGAAGACAAGAGAGTAGAGACACAATTCAGCTTTGCTGCACGTTCTTTATCTCAGTAGGAAAGAAATGCTGCCTGGCAAAATCTTCCACAACTGCTCAGCCTTTCCATTACACATTCCTAGTAACCCCAGAAAGCTGCCAGGCTTCCTTCTTCCTTCCTCTTCAAACAAGTGTTAGGAATACCTTTGGATGTGTATAGATGGACATTGGAAAAGGACACTGAACCCCTCCATTGCAGGGAATAGGCTCTGCTTTCAGGCTTCCTTGCAGATTTTCAGGGCAGCTCCAGCACAGATGTCACAGTTGTAGGGCACACCCCCTTTCCCTGTCACACACACCTGTGCTGGCTCCACTCTCACTGCTTCCATGAAGTTATTATTCCAGCATTCTCATCACTGAAACCTCAAAGATTGTTTTTTCATGTTAGGCAGATGCACCCCTCTTTCCCTCTTCCAGTAAGCACTCAAAGTGTTTTAGTGTGCTTATTGCTTCACAGAGACCAAACAGCAAATTTCTCCTCAACATGACATCTTCTGATCCCCTGAAGCCTTTCACACAAGCTGGAATTTTAGACACACAGGTGAAGTGGGAACTGAGAAGTTGCTCCATCTCTGCCTATGTTGTCCATGCTGCCATGGCTCCATGCTGCCAGGTCTCTTTTTTAAACCAAAAATAAAAACATTAAAAAAATAAAATTAAAAAGCAGCTGTGCACTTGCAAAAAGTTACACTATATTCTTTACAAAAAAAAAAAACAAAAAAAAACAACAACCTAAACATTTAGACAGATCTAAAATGAATTTTCCTGCTTTGGGCTGCCACCCTGTAGAAAATTCTGGCCGCAGCTTTTACCAATTCCACAAAACAGTATTTTGACAAACAAGTTTAACATTGAAACCAACAGCTGCAATTTGGCAGCCATGGGTTTTCTGCCTTTCATTTTAATAATGTTTCTGCCCAGCACTCACAGTTCTTGTTATTCCAGCTGCAGCAGCCATAACTCATGTCTCTGGGGCGTTATTGTGTGTATGCTTTGGAGTAAAGAGGCCTCATAGGACGTCTAATATGATGTCCTTTGCAATCCATTATTAGAGTATGAATCACCTTGCCAGTTAATCACACCATTATGAATGCTGAAGGCATAAAAAACCAAGAGGGATTGAAATACCTATATTTCCAGATTAAGGAAAGCTCTTTAAAAAAAAAAAATGCAGGCAGACTAATGAATATAGGTTTTGAACTGTGCCAGATTGGCACACAAAACTGAAAAATTTTAATCAAAAGGGCTTTTTTGTCTTAGTTGCTTGTAATGATACCGGAAAAGAAAGGGAAATATATGCAAACTTCCATATCTTCTGCTAAAAATGGATATGCTGAATTGGAAATTCAGTGAACTTGGAGTAAACCCAAAATAATTTAAAAAATAATAGATAAATACATCAACCCTCTATTTCAAACCTCTATTTACCTGCACTGTCATTTGAAGCTGGAAGAGGCTGATGCAGTTAGTCAAAGTCATCAGCAGCACTGCAGAGCAACATTAATCTCTCACTTGTTTATGCATTAAATGCATTTATGCTTCTTACTTCCCTTGCATGTACTTTGCTGCCACCTCCAGGATTCACTGGATTTCAGTCTAGATGTTTAAAAACCCTGTCACCAACCAAAACTTATTTTACTCTGAGGTGTAATATTTCAAACTGTAAGCATGGGTTTGGTTTCAATTTAAAAGGAAACCCCCCAAAACTCTCTTTGCAGACACCATTCACAATCACAGGTGTCAGAATAGCTTACAGATGCTCCTTCCTTCAAAAAGTAACATGGTGCTTTAAAATAATAGCCTGTTTAGCATCATGCTAAATTACAGAGGAAACCCTATAAAAAATAAATTTATGGCAGACCCTCATTCCAGAGTCTTTTGTGATTATTATTGCCCCTAATTCCAGGACAAGAAAAATTAAAAAGATAGGTTTTAGCTGGAAGTATTTTATAAAGTTAGGATTCTTTTTCTTTTTTAAAGCTGTGTTAAGTGATTCAAGGCACACTCCTACACCCTCAGTAGCAGGCAATAATTGCAATTTTAAAAAGGTTCAAAATTCTCTACAATGAGAAGGTAGCAGCCCTATCTTTCTCCTCTTTTATTAATGAGAGGATCAGGTTCAAGTGGATGGAGTATCAGGCATCCTTAAGAAATTCATTCTTTGAAAAGCCATAATGAGGTGTCACAGTGCAGAGCCGTACACCATGGACTATGGAAAATTCATCCTAAAATTAAGACTAACATTAGACTAGGAGAAATTCTTTTAAGACACTATAAAATTAGTAATATCCGCTTAATATAAACAAAGTAAAAGGATTCAGAACTTGCTAAGGCTAACAGTACAGGCTGGTTCCAGAAACAGTATCTACTTTATATTTTGGTGTCATCAAAAAACATGGGATTTTGAAGTAATCATTTACAGTCCTGAAGGAAAGCTCACCAAAGTGATTAATTAATTTTTATTTAAAAATAAGATTCAGTGAAAGCTAGGTCATACCCTATTAGGGCTTTCATTATTATTAAGAACCTTTCTATCTCAAAAGTACAGGATGAATTCCACTGTCTAACATCTATATTCCAGGTTTTTCCGTGCCTGATTAAAGGTAGCCAGGGGAAAATGAACATACCACACACCTTGGCAGAAATGGGCTGTGCCACTCACTGGATTATGCAGTGCCACATTCTTTATCTTCAGAGAAGATCAGCGCAGGTACTTTACACCATACAAGTAACAATAACAAGTTTAGTGACATTTAAGCAGGGTCTGTAATTCATTAGACTTGTGCAGAATTTACCTTACTAGCACAAACCACGTTTTGCCTGGCTCTTGCCAAAGCATCTGGAGATGGCAAGCTGCAATGCAAACACAAACATCTTCCCATGCTCAAAGCTCAAGCGCTTTGCCAAGCATCATTAAAAATGATGTATTTAGGGTAAGCTGTCTCCATTTTTATTATATTCTTACATTTATTAAATAAAGACTTCTGTTGCTTAAGGTGAGGTGTGTGTTCACTGGGTTCTTCTAAAAGTGCTTTGCAATAATCCTGCCAGAAAAAGTATTTAATATGACTTCCATCGATTTCCTGTACCAATCAATCATTACAAATTTATCAGAGCAATAAAAATGCATGGAAAAGTTTCTCACTGGGTTTACAACAATGCTGAACTACACTTACCTTTTGGAAGTCAAAAGGCTCAATTACTTTTCCTCTATTTTAGATAGAATTCACTAGCTTTCCAATGTGACCAGAATTTGAAGTAGCTATTAATTTGTACACAGTAAATGTAATATTCCTTTATGGTTGAGGAGAGCAGGGTGAGAGGAAGATAAAAATTCAGTGGAATATTTGTATATAACCTGATGAAATTTGACCCTCAATGCAGAAAACAGTCCATTCTATGTCAATATTTCAGAATATTTCAGAAAGACTACAGAAATTATAACAAAATAAAAAAATTGCACTCAGAGTAAGGACTCAGCTGCCTGGAAAATCAATCCACAGTAGCCTATATTGAAATACTGCTCAGGGACCTAGGACTGACATAATCATTTCCTGAAAAATCCCTTTAAAAAGACTGACACTTTGAAGATACTAAAATTTAACATTTATCTATTTTACTCAAAAGGAAAACCTATGCTAAGTCACAGCATATCAGCTGTGATATGTGCCATCAACATGGCACATTGGGAAAAGGGTGTGTCTGCTAAAAGAAATTCAAACCATGTGGTAACAAGGATTTTTGGGATCATTTTCCTCTGGCTTTTATTTTTTTATTTTTTTTTTTTTTGCCTTTTTCATGCTCTGTAAATGTTAGAATTTACACTGAAAAAAAACCCTGTAAATCAAGAAAAGGTAGAATTTGAAACAAAAGTAGTAAGTAAAATGAGACTTCCCAAGAAAATACAATTTTCTGTTATTCACACCAACTTCTTTTTCCTGTATATAACAGAAATAAAAGGCTCATCTAGCCTGTTGAGTTTTTATCTTTTTTTTTATTTAACAGCAGCAAGCTAGATCACTCTTTTCTCACTCCTGTAAACTTGCTATAAGCTTCCCATGTAAACATAATCCCAATTAGACGTTCATCACAGGCAGGTACTCCTGCTGTCAATATCCTCCACCAGAAACCATCAATATGACCTGCACACTCTGACTGGCAGGTCATGCATCAGCCACACGCTGTTTATTTGTTACCTTCATTGATTCCTTGTGCTTTCACTGGCACCTCTAGGAGGGAGATGATATTGTCAGAGACCTCACAGCACAGATGCACTGAACTGCTCAAAACGGGCACACCACGAGATGAGTGTCCATGGCTGGAAGAGCAAAAGGCAATTACATTCTCTAAGGACATCAAGATGCTTCTGCCCTCCTGATTAAAGGGTAACAGGCTTTCTGGAATATGGCCCCAAGAGAGTTTATACACTCCATTACCATGTAGTATCATCAATGTCCTCTTTTTTCAGGTAAGTTGTCTCATCTGGTGAAACACAAAATGCAAACCTTTTCTTTTTATGGTTTACACTGCTGTTGTGAGGGGACTGCTAATTACGCTGCTAATGTAGATAAGAGAAAGAGCTCCAGTCTCCTGTGTGGAGAATTAATCCCAGTTTCTGACACATTTAAATGTTGTCCTCATCACATGAGGTTGAGTGGAAACAGTATTGCTTTGTGCTAAAAGGACTTAATCCTTCCTTAGCCTTGCTTTATAAATAATGTTCGTAAGAGTACAGCAACTTCAAAAATCGCAAGGGGGTATAAATTATAATTTCATACCACTGCAGCAAAAGGTGGTCAGAGTCTCTGAATTCTCTGAACACAGGCATAAATTTCATGATGTCAAAGAACATGGGAAAAAAATCCAGATCAAGATAAGCCACAAAGGAAAAAATTAAATTAGTGGCCACTGTGGGCATAGTGCGACTCCTATTTCAGGCTAAATCTCTTTGAGATGAGGGTCCCAAGACAGTCCTATTTAAACCAATTTAGCATAAAACACCACTCAATAAATACAATGGTGGCAATATCTAGTCTCAACTGTCTCCTGCAATTTACTTTTAATCTGTAACGTTCCCCACCTTCTGTGCAATTTCACAGCAGAAAAAATAATAGTTATAAAGGCTACTTTAAAACAGCATTTCCAGTTACAGACAATTAGTTGTAAAGACATTGAGGTACCCTAGTGCTTCTATTGAAATGTAAATATTTGTGATTTTTACAGCTTACTATTCAAAGCAAGACAGGTTATTCATTCACCACACTTCCTTTATTCAGAACACTTTGAATAATACTTGCAGTAGAACACTTTGAATAATATTTATAGTCAACATTTTATTTTTTTCAAGGAAAGTAATTCTTTTCCCATTAGTTTAAAATTCATTGTCTTTCAAGTGTTCTTATCATTATTGCTGCTAAATAATACCGCATCTTTTTCAGAAATTATAACTACAGGAAAAGGAAAAATATTTCAATCTGAAAAGCACATTGTAAGCAATAAATTGGCCAATTCATAACTGCTGTGCCTGAAATAATTGTAATAATTTCCTTGCTCTATTTTTGCCTCAAGACCTTTATCAGTAACAGGTTCTTCCCATTTGCCACCCCTTACTCATGCCCACCCTACCCAGGATGAGTTAGATACCCACTTCTCACAACTTACCTCACCCAGCAAAAGCCACAGACAGACAGCAGGAACAGGCAGCTGAGAAAAAGAGTCACACAGGAGAGTGGACTGAAGATCCCTTACTCCCTGGAATTCTGTCCCTCAGCAACTATGGAAGTCAATGCTGAATATTCCAGTAAGATCACACTGTTTGAGAAAGCAGTTTTTGTAGAACCTGCACTTTAGCTGAAAGAAATTGATGCAGTATTCTATTATTTACAATGACAAGTGATTTATTGGTATGCTTTTTATTCCCCAGAACTTGTTTAGGTGTTACACTACTCCACAGCTGTACTGAGTTTCTAATTCTGTGCAATTCTGTTTGAACAGTAGTGCTGGATATCCTATTTTCTTTGTGTTATATTAGAACAGTCCATTTTCTCCCCAAAATGTGCTTCCTTAGGAATATTTTTACAGCTGCTCTCCAAGTCCTGACTTTCATTTTTCATAGAGGATGTTCTACTTGTCTTGTTCCCCCTTCAAGATTACACACAATCAAATAAGACTGGAATACTTCTCTATCAATATTTTGCAGTTAGCATATAAAACAGGCCAAAACATTTCAAATGGCCTCTAGGACACTATCTAGTTGAATATAAGTAAACAATTTTAGAGATTCAAGATTATTCCAACCTATTTCCCAGTTTGAAACTACAACTCAACATTTTTTTTCAAAAGTTCTTAGCAATTATCCTCCCATGGTAGTCCAGAAATTCTAATGATTTGCACAGAAATAATTGGTAATAGGGCAAATGTTTGACAACCAAGTATTGTTAATGCACTGGGCAAGTTGCACTGTCTGGAATAGCTCTGTTCTCACAGATATTGGAAAGGCATTTTCAGTACCTTAAGCACAAATAAATAATAATCTGATGTATAATTTAAAAAAAAAACAACTAAATTTATTACAAAACAATTCAAGAACTGAACTGCTTTAATGGACAGAAGAAGGGGATCTAAAAATGTTCCTCAAAAGTCCCAGGTTTCATAGTTACTCCTTATGCCTCCATATTCTTTTCTGCTCTTTTTCCTTTTACTAAGAGGAAAACTACAGACTTTGGACAACCCTTTTTTCAGTCCAGCCTGCTACATACCAGCCATTCAAGCCAGGTTGCTCCCAGAAATGGGAATGCACAACATTCTGGTTTCAAACTCATTGATTATTATTTAAAGCTAAGAAGATGCTAGATAACACCAAAAAAGTTTTATAACCATCAAGCGTAAGTCCCTTTTCACTGCAAAAACCAAGGTAATCTCTGGAAAGCTTCTAAATGCAAATTTTGGTATTTCAGAGTATTTCAGCTCTTAAGGGCTGTTATTAAAGGAAATTGATGTTTCATGTTATTTAAGTTTTCAAAATTTCTGAAAAATGCATCAACCTATAAAAAAGTGAACGTTTCAAAACTCCAGTTCAACCCAAATACCAAAACACTGTGCAATTGTGAGAAGCAAGTTCTCTATGAACTAAAAATCCCATTTGTTTTTTGATTTGTTTGGTAATTCCATATGAACTCTGTTTTACTGCACTGCAGTAAGGAGTTGATGTCACAAGCCCTGAGCCTTAGCTGACTGCAGCTGCAGGTCTCTATTTCTCCTTATAAAACCCAAATAAAACCTGTGGAACATTTCAACACAGCTTCTGAACCAGATTTTTCCTTGGCCTGGATAATTCACACAACTGCATCACGTGTGACTTTTGTGAAGAACAAGTTCTAGGTCATAAGTACAGAGTTCATAACATCATATTCCCCATTCACTCAGGTTAATTTAAGACTGCTAAACCTGTGGGAATATGTACATCCACAAACATATAACCTAACCAGAGAGCGTAAACACCTCAGAAAAGCTTTGTTTTCATTTTCTAATGCATCTACCTTATAAAACTAAAGGGATATTCATAGAATGACAAATTTTCAAAGGAGCAGCAAGATCAAAATTTGTTGCCGGTATAGTTGTGGTTATATATGAACCAGTTTTCAGCCCAGAAATGAGTCATGGGTGCATTCATACTTTAAAACAGTGCAGCACATGAATTTTGGGTAATCATTCTC